ACATGCAGGCTCAGTCAGATCACACTCTCTTTTTTAAGAAGACAGACTCCTCCTTGACCTTACTTGCTGTCTATGTGGATGACATTGTGGTGACGAGAAGTGATATTAGTGAGATAGACTCTCTTAAGTAGAATCTTCACAAAGAATTTGAAGTGAAGGACTTGGGAGAACTGCGCTATTTCTTGGGAATTGAGGTAGCTCGATCTAAGCATGACATTTTTATCTCTCAAAGAAAGTATGTCCTTGATTTATTGGAAGAAACTGGAAAGTTAGGAGTAAAGCTTACTGACACACCCATTGAGTTGAACCATAAAATAAGTGCAGAAGGTGGAGAACCTCTTGAGGACATGACTATGTATCAAAGGTTGGTTGGGAAACTTCTTTACCTGTACCTAACACGACCAGACATTTCATATGCTGTTAGTGTTGTCAGTCAGTACATGCATTCTCCTAGGACCACTCACCTTCTTGCGGTGGAAAGGATACTTGCTTACTTGAAGTGATGCCCAAGGAGAGGCATACTTTTCAAGAATAGTGATCACATGAAGATAGAGGTATATGCAGATGCTGATTGAGCTGGATCCATTGATGACAGAAGATCTACCTCTGGGTATTGTGCATTTGTAGGGGGGAACCTTGTTTCTTGGAGAAGCAAGAAACAAAATGCTGTTGCTCGCTCTAGTGCAGAAGCTGAATTCAGGTCTATGGCCAATGGTGTTGCAGAAGTGCTATGGCTGAAATCCTTGCTTGATGAACTAGGAATTGACTATGAGAAACCTCTGATGCTGTATTGTGATAATCAAGCAGCAATTAACATTGCCCACAACCCAATACAGCATTACAGGACTAAACATATCGAGGTGGACAGACATTTTTATCCGAGAGAGAGTTGCATCTCAAGTGTGTCTTCCCTATGATACCTCCGACATGCAGCTTGCAGATCTCTTTACTAAAGCAGTCACAAAAATCAGGTTGGAGACAGATTTATGCAAGTTGGGTATGACAAATATCTACTCCCAACTTGAGGGGGGAGTGTAGAGATAGCTGATAGACTATTAGTGTGTGTGGGGTTCCAGCCCGACACTTTATATTTTCTGTTTATTTATTTACTTTTCAGTTATGGTAGTTGGGCCGGTTGGGCCTTGTTTGTTTTCTTTTATTTTTAAGTAAGGGTATTAAAGTAACTACAGTCATTGTAAAGATCACAATATAAATAAGATTTAGTGGGTGGCTAGAAAATTAATTCAGCCGAACCCTTTCTTCTCTCTTTCTTCTTCTCTTCTCTCTCTTCTTCTATTCATGACCTTTCTTTCTTCACTTTTCCACTGAGTTGAACCAGAAAACAACTATTTTCTGATTTAATCTTATTCAAGTAGGCCCATAGGCATCCTTCATTATTGTTTTTTTGCAGTCTCCCAACTAAGGGTAATGTAATTTTATTTTTTATTATTTAGTTAATACGAAAGTGTCGTGCATAGAAGATCACTGACAGCATCCATTAGAAGAAGCAATCATTTTTTTTTTATTGATAAGTAAAAGATCATTAAATTTCATGGAAATTCATAATGATAGGCATTGTTACAAGCATCCCAAAGGGAGGCATTAGATGCAGCCTCACTGTTAGATCAGAGCTAGTACAGAATTACAATTTACAATTGTGCCCAATACAACTGATCCCTAATTACCCCTTGCTTAGCTAATGAATCAACCAGTGCATTAGCCTCCCTTCCCACCCACTGTATACTTAGACTCATCTGCTGTGTTAACCACTAAAACTTTTTCATTTCATTTCTATAACACCAAATCACTGAGTTTGGATCTCTTATCCAACCTACCACCACCTTGGAGTCCCCTTCAATTACCAAGTTCTCCAAGTTCAAGTCTTTTGCAATCTGAACACCTTCTAAGACTGCAAACAGTTCAAGCTTTAAAGAGTCTTCAATCCCTCCAGTCTTGAGTAAAGTGCTAGTATTCCCTTCTTTATTTCTTATAACTCCTCCAATTCCCGAAGGACCTGGGTTGCCTTGATTGCTGCCATTAAAGTTTAATTCCAGAAAACCTTCAAGAGGAGGTGTCCACACCAACCTTGTTTTAATCTTCTACACTGAACTAGATGCCACTGAAACCCAATTCCTCCAAATATCATCAAAGGAGAACTATATAAATAAATCCAGAGTTAGTAGACAGTGTGTAACCTTGGTCATTACACAGTCCAAAATCTGTTGTTTGCTTCTTTCCTTCTCTAGAAAGATTCTTGCATTTCGTTCTTCCCATAGGGTCCAAATTGTGAAGAGTCCCAATTATGTATCATATTCTGTAGTCCCTATTGTATTGTATTTTCCTTCTTGTTATTTTCTTCTTTAGTCATGTAAAGACTTCTCTGTAAATATCTTATATTTTATATATATATATATTTCCTAGCTCTTGGGGTGGGGTTGATTGATTCAGTTTTTCACCCCATAAGCCACTTTCCAACAAAAAGCCATAATTTTGGGGGGAACCGACTGACACCAAACTTCCTTAATAAGGAAAGAATGAAAGGGTAGGGGACTGGAAAAGAGGCACAAGAAAATAAACCTTTAGAACTTGGACACCAAACTCTTATCTGGTTTAGAAGGCTCTAGGCAGACTTTATCAAGAAGTAAAATCTCTGACAAGAAAATGATATCTTCATCCCTCAATCCCCTTCGAAACCCAAAATCCCAATAATGATCCAAAGGCAAAATAGGAGGTGTTAAAAACTTTGAGATCATCTCATTTTTATATAAGGAAGAGGAATACAAAGAAGAAAATAAGTCCCTTAAAGGCCGGTCACCAACCCACAAGTCTTCCCAAAACCGGATTTGAGTCCTTGAACAAGCATCATACCTGACAAACCTGAGGAATTGATGGCGAAAGCTATGGATTGCCTTCCAAGGTGCTTCCAAAGTAGTCCAATTTGTACATCAGCATCCAAGCCATTCTCCAACTTCCTATGAATACTATCCACCACCTTGTGCCACAAATTCTCCCTCTCTAAAGGCCATCTCCATAACCACTTCCCCAAAAGAGCCATATTCTTCTTTCTCACATTCCCAATACCTAAATCACTGGCTTTCATACTTCTACATACAATCTCCCATTTGATTAGGTGGTTTCTTCTAGCCTCACCTGGTTTCCAAAGGAAGTTCCTCATGATTTTCTCTAATTTATTTTCTTCCCTTGGCGGAATTCTAAAGACAGAGAGGAAGTAAATTGGTAGGTTATCCAAGACCAGTCTTATTAGAGTAATCCTACCTCCTAAGGAAATATAGTTTCTCCTCCAAGCAGCCAGTCTCCTTTCACATCTCTCTAAAATTGGGTTCTAGAATCTGCTCTCCTTAGAGTTGGCTCCTAAAGGAAGACCCAAGTAGGTTAAAGGCCAAGGGGTGATAGGACACTCTAAGCACTCTGCTAGCACACTTAAGGCATTCCCCTCCAAATTAATCCCTGCTAGGCAACTCTTGTCTAAATTTATTTTCAAATTTGAGATCCTTTCAAATTTCTTGATAAGTTCTTTTAAATTCCTCATCTTCTTAGTATCTCCCCCTTCACAAAAAAATTATGATATCATCTGCAAACTGAAGGTCCGTAATTAGAACATTATTTCCCCCAACTCTCCAACCCCTAATCTCATCTTCCCTATCAGCCTTAGAGAGGAGTCTACTAAAAACATCTGCTAGTAAGGTAAAAAGAAAAGGTGAGAGAGGATCACATTGCCTTAACCCTCTACAAGCTAGGAAGAAGTCTTTCACCACTTCATTAACAAGAATAGAATAGTGGGAAGACCGAATACAGCCAAACACCCAATTGCACCATCTCTCCCCAAAACCACGTTTTTGCATCACCTCTATTAAAAAGTTCCAGTCCACCAGATCATAAGCCTTTTCTTAGTCCAATTTGCAAACAAGTCCTTCTCTCTTGAGTTGAAGGGGGTAGAAAGGCTAGGGGTAGACCAAGAAGGAAATGGGTTGAAGCAGTAAGAAACAATTTAAGCGCTCACAATTTAACAATGGATATGGCATTAAACAACACAGAATAGAAAAACAGGATTCATGTAGTTGACCCCATATAGTTGGGATAAGGCTTGGATGATTGATGATGATGGTGATTTAGTTAATATAAAAGATAGTGATGAATCTCTACAGCCCTATGATTCGAGTAGTTTCTCTCCATTCATGTGTTCTTTTTTCTTCTTCTTTCTTCCTCCTCTCTACAATAGTTTCTTCCATCTTAAATTTCCATTAACAGCCACTATTTTTAAGCCTTTTTATTGCTGAAGTCAATCACCTCTTCCACATTCACTCAATTAGAACTCAAAATGACTAATCCCCAGTGATATTTTTTATTCCACATTTTTCCATTTCCTCAAAAATTCAAAATTGAAAGGTTCTACATTATCTAATTCTGCTCTACTTCAGAAATGGACCCAAATGGCAGTATCTGGGCCAGTGGGAACTGATGGAACTGGTTTATCAATTCCACCTCCCAATTCCATTTCCATAGCAATCTGGAAATAGACCAAAAAAAATCTTATTCTACTACAAGTATGGGCCTTCTTATGGATCATAACTTAGCTGAAGGATTCATTTTGTTATACGAGTTACTGGATTTGTATGTAGTAACAATTTTACCAATATTCAGCTCTGGAAAACCTCATGGAGATTACTTAGGTTGTTAGGGTAGTTCTGCAAGGTTCGACTCCTTTATCTTCCTTGGTTGCATTATTTCCAATACACATCTCATTCTTCTACTCTTTTTGTGGACCTTCACAGAGTTCTTGTTTGTGTGGACTGTACCTTACATGTAATTATTCCGATTATGTTGATTCAATTATTAAAGGATGTATACCATCTTTTTGTCAAATTATGCCAATGAGCTTGAACCAGAAATTATGTAAAAAATGGTTTCTCTTTTGGAATTTCTTTTTCTGACTTGTCTTTTTAAGTGAATTTTCTAAAATCTACTTTGATGTTTTTTAGGAGGGGAACTTTAAACCTTCCAAAATTGAACAAGATCATGCCTTCCTGCTGCAATTGCTGTTTTGGTTTAAACAATCTTTCAGGTGCTGTTCATTATTTGAGTATTTTCCTATTACGAATTTGTTAGCTGGACTAAATATTATGTATTTGTCTTCCAATGAAAATGCATTTTTATTCTTCATGGATAATGTTATACTTTTATTCTACTAGCATTCTTATGTGTTTTCCTTTTTTAATAATAAATTAAATCTTAAAAGAGAACTTTATCAATGAAAATAAGAATTTCTGATAAACACCTTGACAGAAGTTCAGCTACTCTCACACCTATACTATATATAACATTTAAAAAAGTGCATTTTATGTATCTTTAAAACCAAATTTCAGCATTGACCATAAATTAGAACCAAAATATCTTTATATGTGTTTGCAGACCCCTACCATGTTCCAACCAAAATATATGTGTTTACAGACCCCCCATCCAAAATTGAAGCCTTTTGCTAGGAAGTCTTCCTTGGAAAGATTAATGCTTGTGATATGCTCCAAAAAAGAAGGCCCAATAATCTCTCCCCTCATATGTGCATTGGGCAATGTGGGCGGAAAGAAATGAAAGGATAATCAATGAAAGCTGTAGATCCAAGGAAGGCATTGTGGATAGCATAAAAGTTAAGGTTGCTCATTGGGTAATGTTAGAGCTAGCCGAATAAGGGTAGATTAGTCATTTTCTTTCTATTAGGTTATGTGCTTATGTGGCAGTTTTAATAGAGACTTCCTGGCCCATACTTAAGTGGGGGCAGTTTAGTCTTTGTACTACTAATTAGAGGCTAATAGGGTTGACTGATAGGGTTTAGGCTATCAGATTCGACTGTTCTCTTCTTCTTCTTTTTCTTCTTCTTCTTCTTCTTCTGGTTCGAACTACTGTAGCTATAGGACAAACATGGTATCAGAGCAGGACGTTTCTTTCTAAATCTCCTCCCCTGCTCCTCTCTATTCGTGACCTCATTTTTTTTTCTTTCTTCTTTCTGGGTTGAAAATGGAGAACACAGATTCGACCTAGGCCTGAGAACACTTCAGTCCTTCTTCCTCTGCGCAGAACTTGACTGTTTTTCAAGAAAAAAAAACAACTTCAGAAGTGGATGGTCGACTGGAGCTCTCCATCGGAGGTTGGTTACCTTTTTTTTTTTTGTGCTGTTGGTATTTCTGGGTTGAAAGCCTTCAAAATCTGCTTGGACTGATCAGAACCTAGAGAACTAGGTTGTTTGTAGCCTTGGTTCTTGGAAAAAGGTCCAAGAACAGGCTATGTTTACAGTGGCCGAATGGTGTAAGGGTATGTTTGACCCTTTTATGTGGGTCTGTAGTTGTTTTGAAGCCTTTGTTGGTCACAAGTGACCTGAATTGAATGGCAGTAGTTGATGTTTTCTTCGGACTTGTAGTGCCCTCTGAAAAGGTCAGACAGATCTATACCATGTGTGACAGCTATGGTTGTGTGGTGGTGCTTGTGATGCTCAATCTCTATTGAGCAGCTTCAAGAGGGCTTGTATGTGGTCAGTGAGTTGCTGAGTTAATGTCAGTGATTCATGGTTTTGTGAAATCAGTAGTTGTGTGAACAAGGACAAAAGTTTGTGTACCTATCATCTGTGTTTGGGGACTGATTGATTGTGACTGGTTGTGAGCCTATCATCTATGTTTGGGGACTGCTGTAGTGTCTGGAACATCAAACTCTTGACAGCAGTACTTAGTTGGCGACTGGGAATTCAGATTAGAGGTAGCATTGGAAGAGCATCATGGCAGCAACTGGAGATGGTTGTAGTGATCAGAAACCTAGTGTGGTGATTCCTCTGACCATTTGGGTGTGCAGATGACTTCAATTAAACTTAATGGTGAGAACTATGTACCATGRGCCAAGTCAGTGGAAGTTTTTCTCAAGGCAAAGAGGAAAGTGAAGCATGTGAAGAAAGATAAACCACTAGCTGACTCTTCAGGGTTTGATGACTGGGAACAGGAAGATGCCCAAATCATGACATGGTTATGGAATAGTATGGAACCCAAAATAAGTGCCAACTTTATGTTCTTAGATATAGCTAAGGACATATGGGAACATGCCAAGAAGCCTTATTTTGGGCAGGATAATACTACAAGGGTATATAAGCTCTATCAGGAGTATTTCGATTTGCAGCAAGGGAATAAAACCCTAGAAGAGTACTATGCCAGTATGAAGAACCTCAGAAATGAACTCAATGTCTATCATCCCCTCACTCCAGATGTTAAGGTTCAGCAACAACAGAGGGAACAACTAGATGCCACTAGGTTCTTAGTGGGGTTGAAATCGGAATATGAACTAGTTAGGGCCCAAATATTGGGAGGCTCTACTCTTTCTACACTTGAGGAAGTTTTTGCACAGCTTCGTAGGATTTCTTTGGGATCTACAGAGAATCCCACACAGTCTGACAGATCAGCATTTGTGATAGCCATAGTAGGTGGACGTGGTCTTAGAGGGGGAGGACATGCCTCCCGAGGAGGTCGTGGGTGGTTTCGTATTTGGCCGTGGTGGTAGTCGTGACTCAAGGGGAGGCCGTGGTAAAGGAAAAAGTAACTCTACAAGGAAGTGTACCCATTGTGGCAGGGACGGACATTCGGTGAATTTCTGTTATGATCTCCATGGCCCTCCTTCTACATGGGCCAATCATGCAGTAGCTGGTGGGGTTGATGTCAGTGATAACCAATAGGCAGATCTAACACCTTCCACATCTACATTTGTTTTTGGGAAGGAGATGGTGAGTGTATCACGTGATGAGTATGAGAGGTTCCTCCAGGCTACTTCACAGCATACTACAGCCACCCTTTCCCACTCAGGTATAGCTTGTCTGGCATCCAAACCCTCTCCCTGGATTATTGACTCTGGAGCCTCTGATCACATGACTGGGACTCCAGGTGTGTTCTCTTCCCTCTCTGAAACTTCCACATCTCAAACTGTTACCCTTGCCAATGGTTCCTCTTCTCCCATCTGTGGTGTTGGTAATGTTGACACGGCTTCTCTTTCTTTATCAYCTGKTCTATATGTCCCTAAGTTTCCATTCAATCTTATGTCTGTTAGTAAATTAACCAAGACTCTTAATTGCTCTATTACATTTTTCCCTTCCTTTTGTGTTTTTCAGGATCTCAAGACGGGGAAGAAGATTGGTGGGGGGCATGAGGCTAGTGGATTGAATTACCTTGATGCTGGTGGATCGTCAGTTGCACTTCAGACTTCACTCACTCCTCTATAGTGGCATTGTCGAATAGGACATCCATCTCTTAAGGCATTCAAGATATTGGTTCTGTCTTTGAATCATTTGTTGTCTTTATAGTGTGAGTCGTGTTAGTATGGGAAACATCGTCGGGTTCCCTTTAGTCCTGGAGTTGATAGTCGTATGTTGAGTTCTTTTGCTTTGGTTCATTCAAATGTTTGGGGTCCGATTAAAATAAAGTCTTATAATGGTTACAAGTATTTTGTCACTTTTATTGATGATTGTTCAAGGATGACATGGAAGAGTAAGAAGCAGACGGTTGTGGAAAGGAGCAGTGCTGAAGCCGAATAGAGAGCCATGGCACACACTACATGTGAATTAGTATGGATGAGGAATCTCGTACAAGAAATTGGGTTCTCCATGGATAGACCTATGAAATTGTACTGTGGCAATCAAGCTACACTCCACATCTCATCTAACTCTGTTTTTCATGAGAGAACAAAGCACATAGAGATTGATTGCCACTTTGTGAGGGAGAAGGTCCTTACTGGAGAGATAAGCACAGAACATGTGGGCTCAGGTGATCAATGGGCAGATTTGTTTACAAAAGGCTTAAGCTCAGGGAGAGTGAACTATATATGTAACAAGCTGGGATTATATGACATATATTCTCTAGCTTGAGGGGGAGTGTTAGAGCTAGCCGAATAAGGGTAGATTAGTCATTTTATTTCTATTAAGTTATGTGCTTATGTGGCAGTTTTAATAGAGACTTCCTGTTCCATAGTTAAGTGGGGGTAGTTTAGTCTTTGTACTAATTAGAGGCTAATCCATATTAGGGTTGACTGATAGGGTTTAGGCTATCAGATTCGACTGTTCTCTTCTTCTTCTTCTTCTTATGCTCTTCTCCTGGTTCGAACTACTATAGCTATAGGACAAACAGGTAAAAACAGTGGAATCTTTTCCAATTGGTCTCAGTAAATGGTATTTTAAGAAATTGGAAAGAAGTAGCATACTCCGCCATGGTGAAAAACAAAATTTCTATAGAATGGAAACCTCCTCCAAATAATAGAATGAAGTTAAACTTTGATGGGGGCTCTTCCGGTAACCTGGGAATATCAGGGGTTGGAGGTGTTTTCAGGGATGCAAGGGGTGTAGTGGTAGCCATATGTTACTGAAATGATCCATTTCAGCAAATCAAGAGTGAATAGTTTCTATAATCTTCTTGAGTAACTCATCGACTGAACAACATTGCACCTGAAATATTCTCTGATTCCTCTCCTTCCAGATGTTTCAAGTGGCTGCTGCAGGTACAATACTCCCTAATTTCCTTTGTTTCCCACTTAGTGAGAGTATATCTAGTGAGACATATGTCTAGCACCACAGACCACATCAGAAATGCAACTTTGGAAGGGATTTGGTTAACCAGACTTCCTTGTGAGGGAAAACTGCATTTTGGTTGCTGGTCAAGTGCTTGTAATTAATAACTAATACCATTTTTATTCTTTTACTCATAATTAATAATTCTTATCAGTTACAACAAAAAAAAGAATGATCAAATCAGGGACATGAGAACACTTAATTATCGTTAAAGATACATTTTTCTAACTGATGTAGGGCCCGTTTGGCACGTCTTTTTGGGAAGATCTTCTGGTAGCTCTGACATGCAAAAGGCACATTGAGCTTTTGCATGAAGATCTGAGCAGCCCGAAGCACGTTTGCCAGACACACGTCTTTCCGTGTGTCTTTCCATGTCTTTGTGTGAGAATAAAACGTGAAAGACGCGGAAAGCTTCATTTGAAGCTTCCCGAAATCAGCCCAAAATGGGCTTCTTGCGTCTTTTCGGCACTCCGTCTTTTGGCGGCTAGATCTTCTGCGAGCCAAACGGGAATAGACCGAAAATCGGTCTTCCCGGCTTGTAAACAGCCGAAAGACCGTGCGGAAAGACGTGCCAAATGGGCCTGTAGATTTTCAATATTTTCTTTACTTATTTGATTTTGTATTGTTTGTGTTCCTTAGACGTATAATATCTTGGATTACAGATTGCCGATACTGCCCATGGTTATGCTGTTTACTGGTGATTTAGTCCCTTTTATATTAATCAATTGTCTAGGTTCCAACTTCTAAAATAGTTGTCTATTGTGGCAGGTGGCATCTGATGTCAGTTCTAGACTGGAATTATATTAAGAGAATTGTTTTATCTACTTTCCCATGCTTGATTTATTCATTTATGCATTTGCTAGAAAATAAGTACTTTTCTATCTCATCTTGTTAGTGAACTGAATCTTGTCTCTCTATGTCCTTTTTTGCTATTATATTGCAGATGGGTTAATTCACCTTCTTGTGATGGTTGTGGTAGTGAAACAACAACCCGAGGCATGGGTGACCCACTTCCTTTAGAGCTTCGATTTGGAGCATCTCGAGTTGAGATTTATGGGTATGATTAAATGACATGTTAATTTCATCCTTTTGATAGTCTTGTTGAAACATGTATTTCCTTCCTCTACTTGGGAATGATCAATTGCTTGCCTTCTTTGAGTTTCCTTGTTGTGTATCCTTGTTTTTTATGAAGCTGTCCATTTGATCATTTGCACAAATTGTTAGAAAAATGAAGGTTTTGTGTATGGTTTCTTTCACTCAATTGATAGATTTGACTATAGAAGGTTTGGGAAGGGTTATCTTGTGAAAAGAGGGGCTGTACAGATATAACACTATCATATGCATCTTTCTTTTTTTCCCATATCTCAGAGGGTCATTTCTGTAGTCATGCATGCAAACCTCTCCTTGATAAACATAAAACGCTTTGGAGGTGGGGGTTGATCATTCTAGACATTCCTCTAAGTCTGGTCCATTGTTTTCTCCTTTGAGCTTCATGGTTTCAGGTTGGATGCTCTGAACCTTGGAGGAGTTTTAGTCTCGGTAAAATGGCATTAGAGCCCAGTTTCAGATAGGATTTTTTGGATCAGTCAACTGGAGTTTATGGAATTTTTGTTGGGTGTGTTGGAGTGAGAGAGCCAAAGGGGCATCACCCTTTGTTGCAGTATCGGCAAGATTTGGTGGAATTTCCCCATTTTGGTAGGTGGCAATACGGAATTTTCCAAGAATCTTTTTTCCCTAATATCTCCAATATGGTGCCAATATTTTGTTGATATTTCAGATTTCATTGATAGACTATAGGGTTGATTATCTCAGCCTATGCCTGCATTGACCTGGCCTGGAAATTTTTGGGCCCATGCAGCCATATTTCTCAGGCCTGGCTCGGCCCAGACCCAGCTCAGGCTTGGCCCATGATCATCCCTAATAGAGTATATATTTAAGGTTTAAAGTTTTAGAATATTATTAGAAGCTTTTTGATATTTCATTAAAACCATTATAACTTTTTAAAAAATCTTTTCCTAGAAGAACAGATATAGGTTTGGTGATTGGATGATTGGCTTACTATTTTGATGAAATTCAATTAAAAGTTCACTATAATTCAAAAGAAAAAGAAGGCACATGACTGAAAAAGAGACTTCTCAAACTAATCAAAGTGTACTTCTGGTCACCTTTCTTGTACTCTATTTTTTCTTTTAATAAATTTTATTTTACTATAAAAAAACTAATCAAAGTGTATACTAACTAAAAGACAAAAGTAAATAACAAATGTAATGAAGAGAAGATGGCTAAAAGACCAAAAGGGAGACAGAGAGAGATACCTATTAAATCTTTTCCTTTATTTGATTTGTAAGAGGTTGGGCCTTGGCGCGGGTTAGGTTGCTCCATTGCGACCTTGGTGACAAGGGTTCAAATCTTGGAAACAGCCTCTCTGTATGTGCAGGGGTAAGGCTGTGATATCTGTCCTTCCCCAGACCCCACATTGGCGGGAGCCTCATGCACTGGGCTGCCGTTATTTTATTCATAAGTTGCTTGCTATGGTTTTTTGAGCCTTAAATGTGCAATTATACTTTTCTAATGATTCCTTGAAGGAAGGTTTATTAACTAATTCCATGTTTTTAGAAAAATTTCCTGACTTTTTACAATTTCCAAATATCATAAATTTATTCTTTTGGAGGATCAGGGCCTAGTCAAATATATTTTACAGGGAAATCTACATTTTGTGATTGGGGTGGGGTGGGGGGGGGGGAGAGTAGAGATAAAGAAGATGCATAACAAAAACAACTATGTGAATCAGCAGGGAAATTTCACCTTTTCCTTTCTTTTTTCTTCTCTCTTCTTGTTTTTCCTGTTTATTTTCTGAGTAGGTTTAAACAATTATCATTATGCATTGGAATGCTGATTCCTTTCTCCCCATTTATTATTTTACCTGGCTCTTTTTTTTTTTGCTTTTTTTTATGCCATATGTCTTAGTTTAGTTTTATGACAACAACCAGGTGCACTAACTGCTCAAGAGTCACTCGTTTTCCACGGTATAATGATCCACTGAAGGTACTTTGTTTTTGTTTTCTGGTGGACGCAATGAAGTTATTTATGTCTACTTTTTTTGGTAGAGAAGCTTTATTTCATGATCCACATCATTTCTGTCCTATTATACAGCTTGTAGAAACAAGGAGAGGACGATGTGGAGAGTGGGCTAATTGCTTTACACTCTATTGTCGAGCTTTTGGTTATGAGGCTCGTCTGGTAGGTCAATTTATTCTTTTACCTTTACTTTATAAAGCCTTAGCTTATTCTTTTATTATTACCTCCCTTATCTAAGCTCAGAACTCTTTTACTCTGTGTGTGTGTGTGTTTCTGTGTATTTTAAGTGGCTTATTAAAATGTAGTGGGTTTTATGCACCTTGTCTTATAAACAAGCAACAAATACTTAATAGACTGAGCTAAATTCAGCAATAATCCGGAAATGAACTAACAAAAAATATGGACGGAGAAGAGGAAAGAAGAAATTAGTTGGGTGAAAACACCTAATTGCTGTGCTCTTCCACTGTCTTATATAGTCACTGCTGAAATAAAAAAGAGAATTACAAGTATAGCCATGATAGAACAGCTGAAATAAGAAAAAGAAATAAAGGCCCAAAACCTAAAAATGTTGAGCAATCAATAAAGAAGAAACAAATAACCCAAATACCTAACTCAATTACAAGCATATCTTGTCAACACTCCCCCTCAAACTAAGCATAGATGTTAACTATAACCAGCTTGCTTACATATTGAGCTTAAGGAACTTTTCCCATCTAACTTCACATGGTCTAATTTCCAAGAACATCACATTTTATCCAAGTTAGACAGTTTTTTATTCTCAGCTGATTGGAGGATCATTGGTCTGAGTTATTTGTAAATCTTTGCCTAGTCCAATCTTAAACCACTGCTATCATGTCAGATGACCGAAGTATTTTTTGTGGACCCTTTCTGTATTGACTTGAGAATATGTGGGTAGCTCATATCATTTCTCTTGGCAGTGTGAACAGATGGTGGAGGGGAGGTGGAAGGGATATAAATTTCATAAAAACATTCCAAGCTAAAAGTAAGATTAAGGAATGGAATAAAGAAGTGTTTAGGAGAGTGGAGGAAAGAAAAGTAGAGATTATTGTGCAAAGGAACTTGACAAGAAGAAGGTCTCAAAGCAAGCATCAGCTAAAGAGAGTAGTTTGAGATGGAGGTTGAAAGATTTTTTGAGAAAAGGTAAAGATGAATTTGACCTTATTTTGAAAAGGGGGGAAATGAGTTGGAGGCAAATGTTGAGATGTAAATGGCTTAAACAAGGGGATGACAATTCAAGAATATAAAAAAAATGGCAATTCAAAATTCTTTCACATTCTGGAAAATGGGAAGAAAAAGAAGAATCTGATATCTAACTTCGTGTTTAATGATGATGTGATTGAACAAGAAAAGGAGATTAACAGGATTTTTGTGGACCACTTAAGTTGATTTACAATATTCAACCCCCACCCCGCCCCAAATACCTAATGGAGACACTAGATTGGCCTTGTCTATTGAGTGTCAAAGCTGTATTCTTGTAGAAACCATTCTAGTTGGATAAAATTAAATTTGTATTCCCCATGGGTAGATGGATGGTTATTCTATGACTTTCTTTTAAGAGTGCTGGGACATAATAAAGGAGGAACTTTTGGAGGCCTTTGAGGAGTCCTATCAAAGAGGGAAGATAAATCTAGGGAATGCTACTTTATAGCTCTTATACCAAACACAATAGATTCATCGCATCCAAGAGACCTTAGGCCCATAAGCTTGGTGGGAACTAGGAAGTCTTTATAAAATAATTGCAGAGGTTCTCTCTTTGAGGATTGAGGCACTCCCAAATCTGATTTCAGAAAACCAAAGGGCTTTCATTCATGGAAGGCAGATCATATGTTAAATTCTAATTGCTTAGAAGTGAGTTTGGAGATAGATGGTGATTGTGGATCAGAGGATTCATTCAATTGTATCCAGTGATTCCTTGCCTAGGCCCAGGCATAGCCCCTTTGAACATGTGCGTGCCTAGTGCTCCTGGTGCACTTTGCGCTTGGCTAAGGTGCACACCTTTGTTAATTCTTGTGCCTTTTTTTTTTGAAGCACTTTGCAATTGAGGTCCTGGAAGGCTGCAGATCACTCTTCACAGGAACATTGTCTTTCCACACTGACTTAAATGGGAATGTCATTTATTTGGGGGATCTTAGGTCACTTGCAAAGGATCTAACTGAAAACTCACCATTTCTATTTCACTTCTAGGTCCATTGATCATCTTGGTTACCTCTAACAGCCTGGTTTCTTAGCATCTGTAGTAGGCCCATAACGCTAACCATTTCCCAGTCATGAAAATTCCTTCAAAATTGGGGAGACCAGACCACATTTCCTCCCAAGATTTGATAAAATTTATCCACTTTGGCATCTCTGTTTTTATTTTTTGATTGATACCTGTAAAAGTCATTAATATTAGAAATGAAGCTCAAGAGTACAAGAAAGATACAGAAGCAGAGAGAGATAAACTCTCTTATCTCTCCCCAAAACAACTTTTCTTCTTTTTGCAACCATGCCCAAAACAACTGATCTCTACCCGCCCCTTGTTTAGCAAGAGCATCAGAAAAGGAATTTGCACTCCTTTTGACCCATCAAACTCTCACTTCCATATTTTGTGTGAATCATTTGAATTTCTTCCTTCCACTGTCATAACTCTCAAATTTGCCTCTTCACTTTGTAGCCATCCCACAACCAATTTGGAATCCCCTTAAATAACTAAATTTCCAATGTTCAGAGATCTTGCCTTCTTTACTCCATCAATTAAAGCCAAAGTTTCATCTCTTAGGGAATCTCCTACTCCAATTGGGCAGAATAAAATGTCAGCATTTTGCTCTCTTCATCCCTAAATACTTCTATTCCTGACATGCCTGGCTTACCCAAACTGCTTCCATCAAAGTTGAGTTTAAATCCCCTATCTGGTGGAGACCAAGTAGGAATACTGAAATTCTTAACTGGGGCAGAATTTGCCACTTCCTTCTAGTTTGAAATGATGTCATTCACTGAGACAGTAGAAAAGGAGTACAAAGTTTGTAGTCAATGGGCCACTCTGTTACTTTGTAGTTTGTAGGCAAAATGGCATTTAGTGTGTATATTAACCATTAATTTCCATCAAATAAGCAATGGGAGAAGGAAAAATATGACATAGAAGTGTCCCTGAAGTACCATGGAGTGTCAGTGTCCAATGTGGGATGTGTATCCAACATGGATACTTCATATGTTTTGGAGTATCCATGTAGCACCACTTCTAGCACATATCCCTCATGTGTTTTGGGCGTTTTACAGTAATACAGAACCTCCTTCCTCTCCTCACCTCCACAATCTAGTGGTGGTGCCAGTAACATCATAGAAACATGGGCTGCATAATCAGGAGATGTAGTGCTGCTAGTAAACCCTTGGGCTTCATGGAAACATGGGCGGAATATTCAGGAGATGGTGTCTATAACGTTATACTTTTGCTCTCGTCATCATTTACAATCAAATAGGCCTGCAAAAGGATGATGCCATCACTAGTGAGAATGTACTGTCTGGTGATGTCCTCTTCTTGATTCAGCTCATCTAGAAATTCAAACACCCAGTTACATTATACTAGGGCTGAGTTTGGAAGGAGTACAAATGCAAATATGTAGAGTGCAGAACTTTATATTTTGTATTATTTTGTATGTATTTATGCTGTACATATTTGCATTTGTACTGCTTCCAAACTGAGCCTAACTTCCTATAAGTCATTTCATCTCTGAGGCTTTCTCGTTATACAGTCTCCAGGTGCTCTACTTCTTGTCAAACAGACTTCAGTGTGGAGAAATACAATGCCTGTGATTTCTCTCCTTCCTTCAGATTATTGATCTCGCTCAGCTGATATGCTTTAGCCACATTTAATGCCCAAGAATAGGTCTCAGCCACACGATTCCAGATTTCTTTTGATGTTTTAGCCCACAAATAATTCCAACTGATTTGCAGCAAAAACTAATTTCAAGTGATGTGTGGTTATGTTGAACTCACCAGCCACAACATCACCATATAGTTCTCTTGGACCCATTTGGTGTGTGAAGTGGAACAGTGGGGACCAGCTCTGCAGATTTTTCAATGATGTACCCTAGCTTCCCACAACCCAAATATAGATTTTGGCATACTATACCTACTCCAAATAGTCGGTGCTGCCCAACTTTATAGAGGTAATGAATACACTAGGGATCTCCCGAAGACTTTTTGTAATGAAATTATGATCCATGGGTATGTTGGAATCTTCGCTAGAAGCCTCCATCAATCACAAGTGCTTCCAATAAATATAAATTAACTGTGAAAAGGATCTAGGATGAATCAAATACTAGAACATAAACAAGCTTACAAGCCTCACAAACTTATGTATGATAGAATCAACCCTGATGCCAAAATGGAAGAGGACACCAGGATGCTTGCTCCAGGACACTCTACTCACTCTACAACTGCAACTGTCCTCTACAAGAATATGTTAAGAGTTAGATTCCCAAGCACCACAATCAAAATGTCTTCCAGGCCTTCAGCTGAACCTTCCAATTTAATTTTTCTGTGATTTTTAGGGAGGATATCTGAGACTGCTTCTCAGGCAGCAGAAATAAGTCAAACAATCTCCAAAAAACCTCTAAAAAAGAGACATTTACTGGACTAAAAACCAGAATGCTCCATATGTCCCATTTTTCTAGTTAACCAGGTGGTTAACCCATTTTTCACAGTCTGGCCGTCTGGTCTGGGCCGAGTGTTACAACATTGGATCCAAGTACTCCATGAGTTTCACACTGAGAACACTAACAAGTAATCATATGCCAACTTGTCTAATAAACCAGCAAAAAATACTTAACAAAAAAAATTCAGCAATAAACATGAAATAAAAGAACACAAAATACGGAAGAAGAGAAGAGAGGAGGGGAGAGAGGAAAATAGTTGGGTGAAAATACCCAATTGTGGGAGCCTATATGCTGTCCCACTGTCTTATGCAGTAACTGCTGAAATAAAAGAGTGAATTACAAGTATACCCATGATAGAGAGGCAGCAATAAAAGCAAGAAATCAAGTCCAAAGCCCAATAATACCAAGGGGTCAATAAAGAAGAAACAAGTAATCCAAACACAGCTCAATTACAAGTCCATCTTGTCAGGTGTAACAATGCATTAGACAAAGCCAGAAAAGAGTCCACATGACTAGGGTGTTCATTATCTGTTTCTTAACTCATTCCCATCTGTACCTTCCTCTTCCTATGTGGTCCTCTATCAATTTCAAGTGTGAAAGTCAAGCAAAGATGATTGTACTACTGTTTAGTGTGACAAGTGACAAAATTAGCAGGTAGATGAACCAGTAAATACCATTATCTCCTGATGTACCTGCTCTCTACTACCATGTAGTAAAAGATTCAAAACATAGGAAAAAAAAGAAGAAACAGTAGGATAATGGAAAGGAGAGCAAGGAATTCGGGAAAAAAACTAAAGAATTGTATACCTTTACCCTTGGTAAACTATTTAGAAATGGGCTAAGATGGTATAATACTCAGTTACTATTAACTGAGATAGTCAATCATACAGATAATAGCACTCTGTTTGGTGTGACAACATCAGCAGATTGTAGATTGTTCGGTAAATAAAATTTGAATCTTCTCCCTTGATGTAACAGCTCTAGTACCAATTACCAAGTAGTGAAAGTATAGAAAAGAAAGGAAGAAGAGTAGAATAGTGGGAAAGAAATAAATAAGGAGGAAAAACTACAAAATTATATGCCTTTGACTCTTAATAAGTTCTTCCATTGCCAAACATGTAATATGCCAAAAAACTTGGAAGTATACATTAATAATATAGACTGGATAGGGTAGACCAAAATGGATTAACCAGCCTTTTCACCATCAAAAGTTTAAATATCGTTATATGTAAATGTGATATCAAATGCTACTTGTTCTTCATTTCCAGATCTTAGATTTCACTGACCATGTTTGGACGGAGTGCTTCTCACATCTTCTGGGAAGGTAAATGTTATTCACCAAACTGCTATTGTTTTTTATGTTCATGATTTTTCTAATTTATTTTGAGTGTGATGAATGCAACCAAACTTGTCACTTTATGATAGTAGTTTCCATAGTCATTTTCTAACATGTATATACAGATGGATGCATCTTGATCCTTGTGACGGAGTCTATGACAATCCATTGTTATATGAAAAGGGGTACTCTCTTTTCCACACATCTAATTATTATGGCCTTATTTATGCCTTCAATTGTATCTATGCCCTAGAATGTTTCTTTGATTTTTTATTTTAGTTTATTTCTTTTAATTTATTTCTTTTAATTGTTGTATTTAATATTCTTCTAAAGCTGGAAAAAGAACCTCAGCTATGCAATTGCTATTGCTAAAGATGGAGTTCACGACATCACTAAACGCTACACAAGGAAGTGGCATGAGGTAGTTGCATATTAGTTCTTGTACTAAAAAATCTACTTTTTTCTGAAGTCCAGTTTTTAGAAAGCCAATTCACAGTATTCTTTCCACATTTATCTTTAGCTAATTTATGCACCAAGTGTATATTTCATCTTCCAGGTTCTATCAAGGCGGAACATTGCCACAGAGCCTGTTGTCTCTGCTGTTCTCTCTGATATAACTAAAGAATGTCGAAAAGGTCTTAGCTCTCAGGAACTTGTTATACTTGAAGATCGTGACAGAAAAGAAGCAAATGCACTTGAAAGAGGCCTCCATTCACAAGATGATACTTCAATCTCATTACCAGGAAGACAGAGTGGGGCCAAGGAATGGCGCATAGCAAGATCAGAGATAGGCTCAGACTCTTTGAGTAGTTCTTTGTGCCCTGTCCGTATTTGTTTTGATGGGCATGTTTCAAGCATTTACACTGCTTTTTATTCTCTCCTGTTACAGTTAGTTGACAATGGTCTTCCTACATCTGAAATTGTTGAAATCCTTAAGATGGTTAAAAGGGTATTATTGAATCTTAAGAATACATCCTTTCGATCAAGGAGAGCTTCAATTGATTTAGATTCCAATGTCTCACAAATTATGCCCTCTATGGATGGATTACTTACTGCACTTTCCCTGAAGAGTGAACTAGAAAAAGATGGGAAGTTAACTATTAGTTTGGCTGGTGATCCTGTCAAAACCTCTATAGCTTTGCCAGTGGCATTGGATACTATTGATGATATTGTTGATGATCTTAAAAGTAATCACAACATTGATAAAAATTCTTTACCTATTTGGAAGCTAAACAGAATATCTTCTGGTTCCGTCCTAGCAAGTGGTGAAGAGCTTCCTTTGGAAATAGTAAGCATCTAGCTGATGGTTCTAATTAGTTCATTTAATTAAATGTGCTATTCTAATATTCCCAACAAATTTCAGGTTACCTCAGCGTTCGATGGTATTCGTATGTCTAAATGGGGAGAGCCAAATGGTGCAAAAGGTACTATTACCTTATCATAAAAACACAGAAGATGATTCTTTTCAGTCCTAGAACTATCCAGCAAAATAGAAGGAATAGAACCAAATACTGAAAGAATAAGAAGTGGTGCATTTCTTGATGAGATCTGTCATAAATGGTGGTTCTTTCTTGCAGTAGTTATTAGTTATTGATCAATATACTGCCTTATCATTGATAAAGGGTTTAATTTGTCATGTCTTGTTCAATTTGCAAAGAAAGAGTTGATGCATGATTGGTGTAGGATAGGTGGGTGGTCTCACAACTTTCGTATCTGGTGCTGGGCCTTTAGAATGAAGAAAGAATATTTGAGTGATTAAGGATGAAGAATATAGGCAGAAAAGTATGTGGACAGCTTTCTGTCCACCAAATAATGAGCAAGATATATAATATATATATATGTATATATATATTTAAAAGGTAAAAGTAAAATTAATTGAAAGGAAAAAGGAATAGAGTACAAGCAACAACAGGGTGTTAAGGTAACACCCCAACAACAGAACAACATAGCAGATATACAATTACAAAACAAAAACAATACAAGGCCCCAGCAAGCTTAATCTTCAACTTTAAAAGCTTTGTCTTACCCATTTCCATCCTCATTCTACACCTCTCCACCTTCCCCGACAACTGTCTTCTCTCTTGCTTCTTTCAAAGTCTTCAAAAGCCCTTTTAGCAAACTCCTCTCCACCTTCCCTGACAACTTTAAAAGAGATTTAAAAAAAGAACTCTTACTATTATTGCAAACAACAAGGAGATAACTCATTTTTTGCAATTACAATGACTCTATTCATAGACTTGAGTCACATAGGATAAGAATTTGAATCTCCCTTATGGACTTCAATCTAGACTAAAAGCTGATGCAAAACATCTAATTGCTTTCAAGCTAAGACTAATCCATAGGGACACTCAAACTAACTAAATACTATAAATAGCAATATTGATTGTTCCACTAAGAATAGTAAACTTATATAAGACTAAAACTTGATCCTATTCCTAAGACATCAACAAACTAGGAAATATATTTAAAAACCCAAAAAAATATCAACATCCCTGTCACCCCAAAATTCTGAACTTGGTGTAGGAATAAGACAACTGGTTTATTTCTCCATGCATTCTATCCTTGCTTCCATAGCTGCACCATGATTCAAGCTTAAATCTATGATCTCTTGCTTTAATGCCTTGCAATCAACATTTTGTCCAGACCATGTGCCCACCATTGTGATCATCTAAATAAGTCCTGTTTCACCATTCTAATCTATTTAGGACTGTTCTAATAGCTATACTGGAGATATAAAATTTCATTGCAAGAGAAAATGTATTGGGCTTGAATTTATTAACACTTGATCTCCTTGCGATGGTAATAACTATGAAAGTTTTTGAGCAAAAAACAATAGTTCAAAAAATGACATGTTCCTAACATTTCATTTTCATTTTCATGGTTAGCAAACAAAAAAGTACTAGAATATATCTTGATGTATTCTCCAATGATTTGAAACCTTCAATATTATTTTTAACGAATTTTACTTAGTTATTTATGTCAAGTTTTGATTTTTAATTTACATGTACATAGATGTCATCCAAATAATTTGTTCCAGCATGATGCACTTCTCTTTAAGCTCATTCTCATTTCTAGTTTACCATTGTTAAGGGGCATGAGACTAGGGTATTTAAATCTTTTCATTTGCTATTATGTTATTGGAATATTTTTATGTTCTGTTCCGCTTTTTTTTTTGGTTGATTGGCAAAGAAAATGTTAGCAGATGATGTAATTAAAATTTAGTACCAACTGGTTGGATTATTCCAACAACCCAAGACTACAATATAAATCACACTTTTGCCCAAAGCAAGTGTTGTCTATTAACCCCCATTTTTGCTAGTGAATCTGCCATCCCATTTTCAATTCTTCTAATCCAGATAAAGGTGATATTCAACTCCCTTGATAACCATCTGATAAAGTTCAGATCTGTATTAGTTTTAGTTCCAGAATAACAAAGAAAAGAGAGAAGAGAAAAAGAATAGGAGGAGAAGAGAAAAGAATAGAAGAAAGATTGGTTCAAACTAGTGAAGATTTTTCTCTCTAGTTGACCAGATTGTTATTTATAGGTTTCTAGTTAAAACATAAAGACTGTTGTGTCCCTACATAAGTATGGGAGACATCACTTAAATCGGACATTACATCACACTCTCAACATAAAACAAAAAGACCAAACTACCCCTCTACAATCGAGTCTAACACTCCCCCTCATGCTGGTGAGTAATTGTCATATAGTCCCAACTTGTTACATATGTAATTTACTCTTCCCCGACTCAACCCTTTGGTGAACAAGTCTGCCCATTGGCTTCCTGTGTTTACATATGTAGTACTTATCACTCCACTAAGCACCTTCTCTCTCACAAAGGGACAATCAACTTCTATATGTTTTGTTCTCTTATGAAAAACTAAATTGGAAGAAATGTGGACTGCAGCTTGGTTCTCACAATATAGCTTTATAGGGGTATCGATCGAGTACCCCATCTCCTGTAAGAGGTTTCTCAACCACACTAGTTCACATGTTATATGTGCCACGGCTATATATTCAACTACTACACTGCTTCTTGCTACTACTGTAGTGGACCTCCTGTCAGATATAGAACCGGTCTAATCAGCATCAGTGCATCCCTCTATCTCAAGGCTTCCTCCACTCTTGTATAACAAGGCACGACATGGAGCTCCCTTCAAGTACTATACAATCCTTAGAACTGCATCCCAATGCGGAACCCAAGGATTTTGCATAAACTGACTCATCACACTAACTGCAAATGAGATATCTAGTCGATTAATGGTTAGGTAGTTCAACCTACCCACCAACCTCTTATACCTTCCAGGGTCTTCAAACTCCTCGCTTGCACCACTACTCAACTTGACATTTGGTTCCATGGGTGTTCTAACTGGTTTGGCACCCAATAATCCTGTCTCCTCTAACAGATCAAGAACATACTTCCTTTGACACAAATTAATACCATATTTGGACCTTGCTACCTCTATCACCAAGAAATATTTTAATTTACCAAGGTCCTTTGTTTGGAAGTGATCATGTAAAAAGGTTTTCAACCTATCAATCCCCAACTTATTACTACTAGTAATAAAAATTTCATCTACATATACCACCAATAAAATCTTTCCTGTACCTGAATCATAGCTGAATACTGAATGATCAACTTGACACTGTTTCATGCCAACTTTTTTTCCCACTTCACTGAATCTACCAAACCATGCACGAGGAGACTGTTTTAAGTCCATAAATGGCTTTCTTAAGTCTACACACCTTACCATCCTCCTCCCGAGAAACAAACTCTGGTGGTTGCTCCATATAGACCTCCTCAAGAAGATCACCATGTAAAAAAGCATTCTTGATGTCAAGTTGAAACAAAGGCCAATCATACATAGCAGCTAGAAAGTTCAAAACACGAATTGGGTCAATCTTAGCAACAAGGGAGGTCTCTGTGTAGTCAATGCCATACAAATGTGAATAACCTTTGGTAGCCAACCGAGCTTTCAATGGCTCGACACTACCATCTGGTAAATACTTGGTAGTGTATACCCACTTACACCCTACAACATGCTTACTAGGAGGGAGAGTGGTGAGATCCCACATATGATTATGAGCCAGAGTTGAGAGTTATTCTTCCATTGCTTGGCGCCATCCTGGAGAGGTAAGGGCTTCTTAGACATCCTTAGGAACAAAAACAAAGGATAGAAGAGAAACAAACTGTCGATGGGATACAGAAAGATGAGATACAAAAACATAATTCGAGATAGGATGAAAAGTGCAATTGTGTTTACCTTTCCGCAAGGCAATAGGAAGATCGAGGCCAAGAGTAGGGGTGATGTTGGTGCGAGAACAACTGTTGAATTTTCCAATGGTGAAGAAACTAAAGGAGGAGTCGATGCATGTCAATGTGTATACACTTACCAAAAGGGTGGTCGTTCAATAGGAAGTTGCACCAGAGGCGAAGACTTGGTCACAACTGGAACAAGAGTAATGGGGTCTTCAATCGGAACTAGAAGTGGAGGTAGAGTAGGAGAGACATCCGACCTAGAGAAAAACAGAACAGACTCAAAGAACATAACACCATGACACACCAAAGAACGTTAGAACTGGGGTTATAACACTTATACTCTTTCTACGTCCTACAATGGCCAAGGAAGACACACTTAGTAGACCGTGCATCTAGTTTGTCCATTCTAGGTCCAAGATTATGGACAAAGCACACACCCAAAAACCCTGAGAGTAAGAGGAAAAGGAGATAAGGTAGGACACAAAATAGAGAAGGGAGAATGACCTTCAAGAATAGACATGGGCATTCGATTATTAAGGAAGTAAGATGTAAGCACATCACTCCAAAAACGTTTAGGTACACTCATATGGTGCAAAAGGGACTGGGTAACCTCTAAAAGATGGCGGTTCTTTCTCTCGACCACCCCATTTTGTTGAGGGGTGTAAGTACACGAGGTTTAATGAATAATGCCATGTTCCAAATATTCCTGAAACGGGGTATAAAAATATTCGTGGCCATTATCAGATTAATGTGTATACCAAACTAAGTGCAGATTTTTGGCATGAAACTTTTTTGGAAAATAGAAAACAACTCACTCCTTTCTTTCATAAGGTAAAGCCATGTCATCCTTAAATAGTCATCGACAAAAATTACAAAGTACTTGTAACAGTAGAAATCTGCTGAATTAAAAAATATGAAAGAAAGTAGTTTCTTGAAGAGAGAAGGAGAAGAAGAGAAGAAGAGAAGTTGAAAGAAAAGAGAGCAAT